AATCACGTGACTGCGGGGGTGTCCCAACTGTGGCTGGAACTCTGAGGACCAGTCGTAACAACCATTCCTTCAGCACCGTCACAACTTCAAGTGGTTGCTGAACAAATGATGTAGGTCAAGGACTACCTGTACAGAAATATGGCAAGCAACAGAAGAAGGATCAGTAAAGGCTCTAACCAAGCTATGCCAGCAAATGGAGAATGACACAGTGGCCAACAGAATGGAAAAGATCAATCTACTGTACATACCAATACCAAAGAATAGACTGTGCAAACTATCGTACAATATTCTTAATTTAACAGCATAATAATGCTTAGGATCATAGAAAGGGAGATCCTAGTTGTTCAAGCTTTAGAAAAGGCCAAGGAATATAAAACATTACTGCTGATATACTCTGGAAAATTGAGAAATCCAAAGAGTATCAAAAGGAAGTTGGTATGTGCTTCACTGATTATAGAAAGGCATTTGATTATGTTGATCATGTCAAGCTGTGGAATGTACTTAGAAAAATGGGAATCTCATTGTCCTATCAACAGTGAAGTAACCAAAAGTCAAGAAATATACCACAAACATATTTTTAAAGAAAATGATAAGTTACTGTAAAGGAAAGTAACTTAAAAGTAAAGGAAGGAATATGTAACTAATTTATTTGATTAAGGTTAAAATATATATGTCGTTATTTCTGGTAACTCTTAATGGACTTTTGCTGATTAGGATTGAATGATGAGGCCTTATAATTTGCTTATAGATAAGAGATGAGATATGGCAAGAAGAGATCCTTTGTTGAAATGTTAGAGAAGGTAATAAGTTACTGAATTGTTTGTACTTGTCTTGATGAAGGGGGAAGTCAATTCTTTATATATCTTTTTTCTTTCTTTATATCTTTTTTATATTTTTATCTTTCTTTTTCTCTCTTTTATTTTTTATTTTTACTTTTTATATTTTTCTTAATTTGCATTAGTTTTTATCTTTGTATTTTTAAACTTTAATAAAAATTATTATTAAAAAAAAAGAAATATACCACAAACTAGCACTTGACAGAGTAGCCATGAAGGCCTTCAAATGCCATGATGTGCCTACACCTAAGATCAGAACTGTACAGACAATGGTTTCCTTGTGACACTTTCTGATATTGAAAGCTGGACTTTGAAGAAGAAGGATAGAAAGAGTATTGACACTTTTGAACTTTCATGTTGGAGAAGACTCCTGAGAATACATGGGTAGCCCAGGAAACAAATGAATCATCAAACAAATCAACCCAGAATTCTCATTTGAGGCACAAAAGACCAGGCTCAAATACATCAGACATATTATGCAAATATTTAACTCTCTAGAGAATTCTATAATGCTGGGAAAGGTGGAAGGAAACAGAAGAGGCAGCAAGGTTAGTGGAGTCAATTACAGCAGTGATGTGTGCACCATTGGAAGACCTGAAGGTCTATCAATGTACTGAACATGCATATTAAATTATTAAACCTAAGAGAGAGACACAGAGAGGGAGAGAGAGAGATGTAAAATATGTAAAATGTGATTTACATACAGCTCTCCAATTGCATTTTGCAACGCTGTGTATCCATAGGAAACAAAGTTAAATCCAACGGGCATGAGAGAGTAATAGATAATCTGGAAATACAAAGTGAAAGTTACCAGCAATTCAAAATATGCTACAAGTTACAATGACAAATATTGTTTTCTTGTTTCATATTAATTAATACAATGAATCAGTATAAACTATATATAAATCATATTCACAATGTACGTATATTGCAGCATTATGAGAATATTAAAACATGTACTTTAGAATGTTCTTCTGAAGTATGGCACGTTATTATTGGTTTTAATGATATACTGTATATTCCATATGTAATAGATGCCACATAATGGTCTCCATCTAATCAGCAATGAGAAGCTGAACATATTAGATTGATTCCATGCCATTGTTTTCCCTTCAACAAGGCTCCCATGGAAACAGTGATGTTCATAGCAGTTGTGACTTCTTTTGTCAGTTAGCATAGGAGAATTACCAAAAAAAAAAAAAAAAAAAGGA